ATATAGATATATAATTATATATATAGATAGTTGGTATATATATATATATATATGAATGTATATTTTTGTATGTGTATATGTGTTTATATATGAATACATATATGTGCTTGTGTGTGTGTGTATGTGGGTATGTGTGTATGTGTGTAAGTGTGGGTGTGTTGATGTGCGTATGTGTGTAAGTTTGTATGTGTGTTTGTGTGTGTGTATATGTGTATGTGAGTGTATGTGTTGATGTGTATGTGTGTGTATATGTTTCTTTGTCTACCTGTCTGTCTGCTTGTCTTTCTGTATGTGCGTATGTATATGCGTGTGTGTATGTGTTTTGTATGTGTGTATGTATGTATGTTTATATGTATATATGTTTTTATGTGTGTTTGTATGCATATTTGTTTTTACGTACGCACGTATATTATGACGATTTTTGTACAGTATCTTGGAGTCATAACTTTCCTTTTTCACATTTTTCGTTTCCTATCGATCAGTTGTATACAGCTTCTCCGGTACACCATGATCTCACCAAGTTCACGTTGCCTAGGAACTTGGCCCATCTAGAAGAGTTGGACCCGTTTTTCCAACATGTCTCTATCCACCGATTTGGTCTCGGCGGTATTAAGATCGTAAGTATGAGTTCGATGACGCGATTTTTGCCCCGAGGCTACAATATTTTGCACATTATATTGTTTGTGAAGTATATATGTTCCTGTGTATACATGCTGATAGTACCTTCATCACTGTGCATTCCCCTATCTGTGTGCCAGGGTGGCGTAATCACTGGAAGTGATAGTACTATGATTTCATATGTATGTATTGGATATCGGGTAATGCACCTTTAGACAATGGTAGATTACGGCAGTTATGTTCATTTTATAGTCCATTGCATGTGGATGTATCTTTATATTTATTGTAGGCAAAAATAGAGACATGCATTAGCTGTGCTCAATTGTCGTCCGAATACATATACAGTTACTAGTGGGGTATATTCAACTATAGGCATAGTATATAAATGTTATATGAATGTTGTGCATCTACAACTACTCATTCGTTATTTATTCGTTACACGTATAGATGTGAAGTACAGCCCAAAACGTCTGCATATACAGGAGTGTACGATCACTGATATATTTTAATGTACGATACCAAGTCAAAATGAGTCTATCTGCACTCATAAGAGCAACCTTATTGACGAGTAACATGCAGGCGGGGGCAGAGTAATGGGACCACCTGTATGTTGGTATACATCCGTACCCTTAAATTATCTACTACAATGTATGACTTCTGTATATACAGTATATGCCCAATGGTTAGTATATATGCCCGCACTTACATTTAAAGAAGAATCATGAATGTGTCTGTGTATTCGGTATTTACACTCGCAGGAACAACCTCGGGTGACGAGTAACAATCAGGGGAATGGAAGGTGCCGCCTCTTATCACAATAAGCAAGACCTCCAAGAACATCAGTCTGTGATTGACTTCTTGGAGGTCTATCTCTGTGTGTGGTTGATACTCCCAACAACAGTATATTTTAACCTACTCACACTCGCATAGTAGTAAAATATATAATCACAAAGTTTACGCAATACATGCCTGCACTTACAGGAACAGCCGCGGTTGGCGAGTAACAGGCAAGCAGGAGAATGGTGTATATTGCGCTGTGACAACTGTGCCATGGACATATACGCAGCGGAAGATGCGCACTTGCCCAAGGACAAGAGGGGACTTGGTAGTGGACAGATGCTGGTGTCTATGACACTTACGGTATGTTGGTATTTGTTGCTTGTTGGCTTATAGGGTATATACA